ATGTGACTACTGACGATAAGGAAAAGGCAGAGGTCCCGAATGCCTTCTTTATGTCTGTCTTTAAAGGTTATCCTGAGTATCCTCAGGATACTCCACTTTTTGACCTGGTAGTCTCGGCTGGGGAGCAGACTAAACCAGCCACGATTCAGAAGGAAACAGTCAGAGACCTGCTACTGCAAGTGGACTGCCACAAGTCCATGGGGCCGGATGAGATTCACCCCAGAGTGCTGAGGGAACTGGCAGAGGTGAGAGCCGAGCCGCTTTCCATCATCTATCAGCACTCCTTGTTGACGGGTGAAGTACCAGAAGACTGGTACTGGTACACATCAGCCCATGTTCCTGCCCCACAGCCCCGTGATTCCATATTCAGCCTCATGGCTCTGTGCCCCACAGCCACACAGCCTTCCCTTCCTCCATTCTCATCTCATCGCTTTGGGAATGCTACGAGCCCATATCCTGCCCATAATCCCATATCCTGCCCCATAACAGGAAATCTTACCCCATGTCCTGCCCCATAGATCCATATCCTGCTCCATAGCTTTATGTTCCACAGCCCTGGAGTCTTCCTCCTGCTGTGCTCATTCTCATGTCTTTGGGACTATGAGGAACACATATACCTTCCCACAGCCCCATATCACATTTCACAGCCCCATACCTCTCCCTCTTGCCCCATATCATGCCCCATAGCTCCACATCCAACCCCATATCCTCATTTCCAGTCCCATATCTTCAGAAATTGACAAATCACCCCACGGTCTGATCTGTGCCCCATATCCTTGCCTCATAGCCCACGGACTCCATACTCCAACCCATAGCTCTGGTATCATCCCTTGTATCCCTCCTATAGTCCCAGTTTGATATCTTGTCCCATTCCAGTATGACCCCATAGCCTGCCCTACTGCTCTATGCCCTTTGTCCCACAGCCTTCCTCTCGCCATGCTCGTCTTAGCCATCCACATGCTGACCTTCGCTGTGGGTTTTCCTGCCAACATCTTCACCCTCCTCACCCTCCTCATCAAAATCCGATGCCACCGTCCTCATCCCCACCTCACCGCTGCCGACCTCCTCCTCCTCCACCTCACCACCGCCGACCTCCTTGTCCTCCTCTTCCTCCCATTCAAGATGGCCGAAGAGGCAGCCATGATGGCGTGGCCCTTCCCCAGAGTGCTCTGCCCCATTGCAAACTTCTGCTTCTACTCCAGCATCTACCTCAGCACTCTCTTTATAGCTGCCCTCAGTGTGGAGCGCTACTTTGGGGTCGTGTTCCCACACCGCTACAACCGGCACCGGAGGTTATGGCGGATGATGGCCGCCAGCGCCGTCCTTTGGGTGATGGCATT